TAATATTTCATTAAGTTACTTTTCTTCTCTGAAAGTGTTAGAAGTTTTCCCAGTTCTTTGTTTAGAAAACCTACTTATAGTTTATAAAACGTAGCATTCCTTTTTTACTTGCTGTAGTGCAGTGTATTTGATAGCATTATTGAAGATTCATCAGTGATCAATGGTACTTTGTGTTTATTAGCAGTCTTTTATTCATACCTTGATACATTTGTTTTATGTAGACTTTGGATCTTTATATATATGATTTTCACACAGGATGTCTCCAAACTTTAGACAGCAAAGAAATTGGCATTGTACCAATAGTGTTAAGAGGCAGGTATTTAGCAATGTAATCTATTTTGTAATGCGAACTCTCTGACTAGTTTTGAATTACTTATATGAAATTCTCAGACAGAAATGCATACCTTCCTAATAGTGCCATTATGTGATACAGCGTGTCTCAAAACTCCAGGAGCACTTGAAGTACTGAATGAATTTCCTGTGCTTGCCATAATACAGAAAAGTATTATTTTGTGGTGCCATCACTATCAGTTATATTAGCAGCTCAGTGACAAAAGGGAGCCCTATGAATACAGCAGTGTTACTGCTTTGACAGTCCTGAGGTACAGAAGCACCAGCATAGTAAAGAGCATCAATCCTGTCTACTAGCAGAAGCAGTGAATGCAAATGTAGTGAAACCTCAGAATTTGCACAGATATAACTGCATAAGCAGATGTACTGGGCCTCTTTACAGTGCTTATGTGAAAATATTAAAGAAATTGTAACCAATTAATGTAGTAAGCAAAGGTGAAACTGAAAGCAGACCTTTCTTAAGTGCTTTTAAATGTCATCATTGTGCTCTCGCACATTAAATACTTCTTCTCAAACAACTTTCTGGAATTGTCATTCAGAAATTGCCATTGATTTACTAAAAAATAAAAAATGAGCTGATCAAAGCCAGAGCTATACTATTTTGCTTTCACGTTATGTATACTTGAACTGTTGCTCACCACATCTGCTGACCACAGATGATCCCAATGTTTCATTTATTTTCAATTTCTTTATAATGCTGAGAGACCTTTGTATAGAAAAAGATGACAGTATAAGTTTTTATTCTCCTGTTACATTTCAGTAAACGCTTAGCATTTAACAGGAGAGCACATAGTTGTGATTTTTAGGGATTGCCATTTCCTTTTGAACAGTTCTGAATCCTGTTGATTTTCCTTTTCTTATGGGAGTGCAAAACTGCTCCAAGAGAGCATTCTTCTTTCTGCTGCTGTCTTTGGATGAGCAGGTTTAAAGCATGCATCTTGCAGACAAAGGAGTGAGGGATAATGATGTGGTTTGCTGACAGCCGTAGTGGTCTGGGGTCATGTACGCACCAGTTCTGTCACATTCAACTTTCTGCTTTCACATTTGCAAACTAACACACCAGATTGCCGTGTCTATGAGTGATGGCAGTCTATTTCCTCTGCTGCCGTGCTTTGCTGCTTTGTTTTCTTTACTGCTTTGCAAACAGATTATCTCCTTTCAGTGTCTGGAACTGATCCCAGGTGTGGGATCCTGTAAGAATCCTAGATGTTAACGAAAGTATTTCATTTGTTTCATGTATCAAATTCTTTTTTTTTTTTTTAATGAGAATTTTCAAAATTGTCCAGTGTATTTCTTAATGTTCTTTATGTTTCATATTGTTTTCAAGTTGTTACTGAGTTGCTTATAAATGAAGGAGCTTATTTGAAAGTGAATGTTAGCCAAATTCTAGCTTTTCCAACTTGATAATAGAAACTCCCACATCAGTTTTCACTGAAGACTTCAGAGACGTTTCTCCCTCTTTTTAGTTGACAAACTGATCCTGTTGTTGGCAAATTTCCTTTGAACATTTTTTGTTTCATTTTGGACAGATTTATTAACTGTCTGATTTTGTAAGGAAGTGTTTTCAATACAATACTTCCTTCTTTGAGTTGGAATCCACATTATCTACTGATTTCTTGTCTATTTTAATACTTAACATGCACCCCTAGTTATGAATCTTTCACACATTTGTTTATGCACTGTACATTATTCATTCCTACTTTTTATTTTTTACACAGCTGCATTCAATTGGGCCTACATGGCTTGAAATTATTGGAGTTATAAATGTTCACATTGCTCATGACAGAGAATGGAGGTAGTAAGGCCAGTGCTTAATTTGATCAGAGGAAAACTTTCAGTTTAATTATAATTTATAGTGATTTTAGGTATTTGTATGTAGATAATGCATATGCCATTTTTAGCATATAAGGTAGAAAGTATTTTTATTGCAGTAATAGACTTTATATGCACTGTTATATCAATATATCAATATTTCTAATACTACGTTAATTCAGATACTTGTAATGAATTGATTCTTTCAGATTTAGACTGATAGGCATCTGCTGTGAGACAACTGTAAGGATTGTTTACTGATACTCTTCTCCTTTAAATTCTTATTTTCTATGCTCTGCCCTTGATTCAACCTGGAAGACTGTGAAATCTAGTGAAAAATGCATCATTTTGAGATTAAGGCAATGTCAGAGGGAGATGGTGGTGGTATGACAGTAGAGGTTGAACCTTGCCACTAGTATTCTGTTACATTTCGTTGTTGTATAACAGATGGCAGCAGAGTGAGAGTCTGATGAGGTGACTGACATGGAAGTGCATATGAAGCAAAGATGTGGAACTGAAGTTCTCCATGTAGAAAAAAAAATGGCACTCACTGACATTCATTGCTGATTGCTGAATGTTTATGGAGAACATACAGTGGTAGTGAGCTCCCTGAGGAGTTGTGTGGTGTGCTTCAGCAGTAGTGACAACAATAGTGGATCACCTCTGCTGGTGCAGATGTAATTTTATGAGTGTGGCATGTTCAATGCTATGGTAATGGTAGTGCCTATGTTGAAAAAGTGTGTTTTGTAGCAGAGAATTTGCTCTATCAAATAGTGTTATTGTACTTTTTGTATCAGTTGTAGTTTCCATGGAAATAAGAGGTATTACTTACAGAGTTACCTATGTGTATTTATGTGCTGAGTAAACAAGCTGTTACTTTGAAATACCTAAAAAAAATTACTTGGAATAAAATCTCACGTTGTTGTGTTCTTAAGTTTTTCTGATGGAATTTCTTGATGGAATTAAACACAATACATATGGCTGCAAGCTTAGAATATGAGAGCATTCCAGTTTATGGATCTTCATGTCTCTGTGGAAAATAATATTTCTTACAGGGCATTTAAAGCTCCTACTGTCCTACTTTTTTTTAATAATTGTCCTTACGGAAATGTGAAAGAAAATCTTAGCAGTAATTAGTCTTTTAAGGAGACACAAAACAAATCAGTTGTACATTTGTTTGAAGTTCCTTTTACTACAGAGTTAATTCTTCTTCAAAAGCAGAAAAAAGCTTTGCAAACACCGTGTAACTAACTTAAGCAGGTACAGTCTGTTGTATAGAGATGTATGCATTTGTTGAAATGGCAGTTTTATTTACACTACAGCTATGTTTAAATGTCTATAATAATGTAAAGTACTGAACAATTTTACTGTGGAACTAGGAAGAATCCCCTCCAAGGGAGGCTAAGCAGGAAAAGCATTATATTATTAGCTTGTTGGATTTTGTTTTACTGTCCAGCTGCTTCTTAACTCTTCTGAGATCATTCTAAGATCTTGTTCACTAGTTTTTTTTTTTCTGTGTTGACATCAAAAGTAGCTGTTGAAAATAAGTGAAATGAAAAATTAGACAGTGTGCATTTTTTTGCCACATGGCAAACAACTTCATAGGTGATTGTTTTCCCCAAGAAATATAATCATTTTGAAGTTGCTTTTAGAGCTAATTTTGAAGTATGAGACGTTGTTAAGTAGAATTGTCTCTGTTTTCTACATCCTAATGTATCTGTTCTCATTTTCTCCTTAAATAAGGGGATAGTGCAATACTACCAGTTTAACAACAGTTTACAGTGTTGCTGCTTCAGAGATAAAGTGAAACTAGATTTGCTTATGAGTTGCGTGTAGTTACTTGTGTAGTTACAGTTCTTTTTAAACCTTTGATTGTTGATGCAGTTTATGGGTATGTTACTTTTTAGACTGACTTCCTTAACACTGTAGGCATTTAATTCTTTTGGCCAAATGCAATACTGAAATTAGTTCTGCCTGTCGTGTTACTCATCTGATCTATTTTGTACCATATGTTGGCATGTAGTTAATGCTGTAGATTTATAGAGTCATAGAATACCGGAGCTGGAAGAGATCTCCAAGATCATCTAGTCCAACTGTCTATCTACCACCAATATTTCCCCACTAAATGATGTCCCTTAGCGTAGAATTACAGAATTGACTACATTGAAAAATGATCTGCCACATAGCTGTTTTCATCTCTCCTACTGTGTACCTCAGCATATAGGAAACTAAAGCTAATAAAATGTTTTTGAGAATTTAATTGTCCTAGTTAATATTGAAAATATCGTACAAAAGCATATCCTGTACTGAAATATAAATTTGATTGCAAAAGGTCAATTTAATGGTGTGTCATGATTTTAAAGGACCAATTTTTAATATATATTAATTTTTAAAAAAGTCTGATATGAAACATTCCATTGTAACAAAAAAAAAAGCTTATTGTATATGAAGTCTTGTGATCACAGAAAACAGTAAGGTGATTTTCTGTGTACTCTGACATAATGTATGAATTTACTGTAGTAAAGTGTTCATATTGAATTTAAACTCCTGCATTTTGTAGCTGGATAGTTCATGAAATGTCTTCATGAGACTATTCTGAAGATAGTGTTCTTTAGAATTTGACTCTGCATGCTCAACTCAACAAAATTATTTATATTTTCTTTTTGGCCAGTGCTGTACATTTATCTAACATCTGTTATTGTAGTTTTCCCTCAGTAGTTCTGTAGTTAATTGTTTAAATGATTTCATGAGGCATATTTTTGTTGACGTTTTGAGTAATAAATAGCCAAAATGTTCTGTGTTACTTTATATTGAAATCTAAATATATTTTCTTCTAGAGAACTAGAGGACGAAAACGAAGCTTTGTGCCAGATGAAGAAAAACCTGAGGTTGGAATATAGTGTTTTGATTTTTTTGTTTGTTTGTTTGTTTTAAACACTTTCACAAAAAAAAAAAAATTAAACTTTGGGTTGAAATGTTACTTTCAGTACTGTAATTGAAAATATTTGCTTTCTTCTCCTTCTTTCCCCCCATTCCTTTCTTATGTCTACTATTATGACAGGAACGGATTCCCAGAGAAAGAAGACAGCGGCAATCTGTTCTGCAAAAGAAGCCCAAATCAGAGGACTTAAGAACTGAATGTGCTACGTGCAAAGGGACTGGAGACAATGAAAATCTAGTCAGGTAGGTTGATTTTTCTGACCTTTTGAAGGATTACAGTTCCATCTTCTTCACTTTGTTTTCATGGTTTTATTGAAGAAGATGTGCTTAAAAAAATATTTAAGAGAAACATTAGTTCAGAAACATTGACTTGATTCACTTATTGACCTGCCAAACATGTTTACACTGTGGATTAAGATGTAAATAACCAAGGTAATCTGTTTTTCTAACACAAAGGAATTAATTTTCTCCTGTCAGAGTGAATTGTCAATGTTTTATAGCAGGTCAGAAAGATAAACCAGCAATTTAATGATAGTAAAGCAACAGGACTTTCTTAAGACTAATTAAATTAGTATTATCAACAATTTTATGGGTTAAAGTTTGGATTATGAGTAATTCATATTTTAAAAATGTATTAATGCTACCTCCATTAATACAGATCATAAAAGAGTTTGATAATCATATTCCTTATCTGAAATAGAGCTGAAAAAAAACCCTCTTGAGTGGTGCTTTAGTAGGTGCAGGAATCTAATTAAAGTGTAGAATAGCTATTCAGTGGCAGCTACTATTGACCACAAGTTTTGCTGATTTAAACTTTATATCTGGCTTCTTGACCTCTTTGTGAAGCTATAACTGTTGAAAGAAGAATAATGAAGCTTAGCAACCAGAAAACAAATTCTAATTGAATCTACTGAACTTTCATTAAAATGATCTCATAATAAATTCAGATAAAAAGTAGTGTTCTACTTAGGTCCTTTATGATTCAGATAGATTCTTATGGAAAAGGTCTCCCCTTTCAGGACAAATATAATTGGTATTTTTAACTGTAGGGTTTATTCTAAAATGTATGTTTTCAGTTCATTCAAGGAATCAGTTATAGTGAAAGTCAGAATCAGTGATAAATGCAGGCAAAATGTAGCTTTAGAATTAGGATATATCCCAAATACAGATGTCTTCTGCTGAGATACCTTATTTTATATCGTGACTATAGCATATCTTGTACTGTAAAAGTTGATGCAATTTTACAGGTTCACAGAATAATAGGGTTTGAAAAAGGCCTCTGGAGATCATTAAGTCCAACCCCCTTGCTAAAGCAGGTTTGCTTCAGTGGGTTGCATGGGAAAGTGTCCAGGTGGGTTTTGAATATCTCCAGAGGAGACTCCACAACCTCCCTGAGCAGCTTCTTCTAGTGCTCTATCACCCTCTAGGTAAATTTCGTTCTTATGTTCATATGGAATTACCTGTTTTCTAGTTTGTGCTCACTAACCCTTGTCCTTTTACTGGGCCCCACTGAAAAGAGGTTGGCCACATCTTCTTGATGCTCATTCTTTAGATATTTGTAAGTATTGATATGATCCCCACTCAATCTTCTCTTCTCCAGGCTGAACAGTTCCAGGTTTTTCAGCCTTTCCTCTTAAGGGAGCTGTTCCAGGCCCCTAACTCTTTGTGGACGCTCTCCAGGAGTTCTCTGTCTGTCTTGAACTGAAGAGCCCTGAACTGGACACAGTTCTCTAGATATGAATTCACCAGGGCAGCGTAACGAGGGTGGGATAACTTCCCTCAGTCTTCTGGCCACTCTTTAATGCACACCAGGATACCATTGGCCTTCTTGGCCACAAGGGTATGCTGCCAGCTCATGATCTTCTCTGCAGAACCCCTTTCCACCTGATCAGCCCTAACATATTTTGATGCACACAGTTATTTCTCCTAGGGGTAGGATTCTTTTGAATTGGATTACTTCTAGGACGTCAATAACTGTTGTGAAAGTACTGTACAGCTCGGTTGGCCTCCTATTTCCTTCCCTGGACCAGGCTGAAACAGAAGCAGGATATCCTAACATCTGTTAACAGAAACATGATAATTGGTGGCAACAGTTTTTAACTCTCTGCAACAGGAAAATGGCTTTCTTTGGTTCTGCTCTCACAACAGTTGGCAAGAAATCAGCAGTGCAAGAAAGCTGTTTGGTTATGGGAACAAATCCTGGAAGCATATACCATGCCTTACTGCAACAAGGGTAGTGAGTTAATTTTCTTCATCAGGCTTATTGTGTAAGTCAGTACCAGAAGTGAGAATATAAGGGAGATGAAGTGCTTTCCAGAACCATATTTTTAGGCTGAAAATTAAAAACACAGTAGAAATTGAATGGTATGTCTTGTTTATTACAAAATAGTAAGATTTTAGTAATAATTCAAACTGACCTAAACTAAACATACTATGTGTCAAACCCTAAAAAATTCTGTTATAAACTATCCTTCTAATTAGTTTTAGAACCAAATCAGTGTTATTTTAAATTTAAGTCGATAGCATTTTTTGTAAGAAGGACATATTTTGCCACTGTTGTTACAATCAAATGTTTCTCAGAAAACCATTATTATTATTTTTTTCTATCATCTGTCTCTCACTCAGCAAATATTTTGTCTTTACTACATTTTGTTTTTGGTTTGTCTTTCATGAAAAAAAGGGAGGTTAGGGAGGAGGTTAGAGATTTTTTTTTTGAGTGTGCAATTTGGTCAGTAAGTTAAATGAAAATACTCAACTGCTGAAACTGCAGATTTGAGGAGTGATCTTGATGGGGCCTTCCAGGTTTTCTGTCTTATGTTACCAGAGACAGAGCTAATTACATGATTCATGAACAATCCATTTTTTCAGAAATGTTATGTTCTAAAAGTTACATAGATGTCTCACTTTTGGCTGCTAACTGAGCAGACATTAGAGGAGGATAAGCAATTATTTCTCTTATTTCAAACATTGCAATGCTGCACTCTTCCTCTCCCATGGCCAAAATGTAAATTGCTTTGTTTGTCGTGTGGAGGTTTGTGAGGTATTCAGACCTGAACCCCCTTGCTTGTATACCATTTGCGATTTGGAAAATGTGTTTGAGTTGAAGACATCATGGAACAGGAAGCTACTTATAATTAAGTGGTTTCTGAACTGCAGTTAAATGCTTATTGGCTGCTAATTTGCCAGCACAGTCTTTCAGCCACAGTTCAATGAGTTTTATAAAATACATTTTGTGAGCAAAGATGAATATTTCTAAATCTGGAATAAAAAGTATTAAATTGTTCGACTAGCTATTACTATTTGACAAATAGAGATTCAGTTGTTTTAATCTCAGTTTTAGATGCTTATTTGCAGCATGGAATGGCTGCAGGATTATTCATTATCTATGTCTTCTCTTAACCTGTTGTTCACATGGATGCAGAATCTTTAAATAATTATCTGTAAAATGGTTTGAAACTATTCCTGAAAAGGCAGGTTTCATTTGCGTAAATCATAGTAGTTCATTAGTTGGCTGAAGTTTACCTTATTGACTTCAGTTTTGTGCTAAAAAATTGATTAAAGTTAGAATATCCATATTTATTGGCTTTTTAAAAACCATACTGACACAGTACTTCTGCATGTGTGAGTAGTTGCCTTGTAATTTATAGGAATGTGAAGACTATTTTTAATCACTACCGTCAGATTTCATACATAGATGTTTCCAATATGAATATGCACTATATAAAAAGTTTGCATTTTCTGGTTTTGTCCACAAAATAGGTGGACAATCTTGAAATTCTTTTGCAACACCTTTTTTTTTTTTACCTAGGTTTATTATATTCATTTTTATGTGTATTATTTTTATTGAATAAAGTACTTGTGCAGTTTTTTGCCTGTTATGAAATTAGTGGAACAGTTACTATTTAAAAGATTAGTTGGACAGCAAAAAGTTAATCAAAGCAATTCACTCAAATAAGTGTAGTGTATCATAATACTGAGGGAGAACACACTGTGGCCTTCTACTGTTTCAAGGAAGTTCATAAACATGAAGAAAATCAACTTTTTACAAGGGTAGTGATAGGACAAGGGGAAATGATTTTAAACTAAAGGAGGGGAGATGTAGAATAGATGTCAGAGGGTTGAGGTCGGTTTTTCAAATGAGGGTAGTGAAGTGCTGGAGCAAGTTACCCTGAGAGTTGTGGATGCCGCATCCATGAAGGTGTGTAAGTCCAGGTTGAATGAGGCCCTGGGTAGTCTGATCTTGTATTTACCTAAGCAATTGGCAGCCCTGCCTGTGGCAGAGGGGTTGGGAGCTGATGATCCTTGAGGTCCCTACCAACCCAAGCCATTCCATGATTCAGTGATAAATGACCATAAAGAAGCCATATCATTGACTAGAGGACGGTGAATTTTGAATATCCTTTTATTCAAATGAACTGAATTTTGAGAAGAATAGTAGTAAAGTTTTAAATATTTAATACAAGGTGCAGATAGATTTGATGCGAGGCATATGTTTTGTCACTGAGAATTTGGCAGAGAAATTTACAGTGGACACTTTAAACTAAAGCTCTGGGAAACCAGAGTCTACTTACAACCATATACTGCTCAGTCTTAAGGAGGTAATCAAATGCTGAAAATATTTGCTTGGAATGGAAGACACATTTTGAGATAGGAGAGTTTCTAAAGCTTGATATGAAATGTAAAAACTTATCTCTAACACATTCATAAAGCAATTTAAAAGGTTATATTTGTTTTCAGATGTGACCACTACTGTTTGTTTTAGAAAGCGTTTATGCAATGATGCTTTTCTTTTGTTTCATTTCTCGTATCTTTGTAAGTTGTCTGCAGAGGAGAAGTTTAATGGGTTTCCTTGATGATTTATTACAGCCACTGAATCACGGAACTTACAAAGCGGTTGCTTGATATTTAAGTATCATCTTTTTTTTTTTTTTATAATATAAATGAGGCTAATAACTCACTGATTCATATTTATAACGTTATTATGGTATTGTCTAATAGCTCTCTTGATAATTTAAGTATATTTAGTAGAAACATGGATAAGATAAAGTATGACTCAGTATCTAATAGGTAAAGCTTGCCTTCTGTTTTGCACCATTCTCCATGAGGAAGTAATTGTACCACTATGCACAAAGTGCTTTTAACATATCATTGTTTATTCTGTTTTGGTAAAAGAACAAAATTAAGATGAACTGCTATTCAAAACAGACAAACAAATCTATAATTTTTAGCTTTTGCCTTCCTAG